CCGAGCAGGGAGCCCGATGCGGGACTCGATCCAGGGACTCCAGGATCATGACCTGAGCCGAAGGCAGTCGCTTAACCAACTGAGCCACCCAGGTGCCCTCAGGTTTTTGTTCTTAAGTACAACTAGACCTGTGGGGTTGCCCACCAGGTCAGGAAAACAAGAGACCCTGAAGATAAACTGACCAGAACACTGACTCTGGAGAAAATTGTGTGTGTGTGTAAAATTGTGTGTGTGTGGAAATGTGTGTGTGTGTGTGTGTGTGTATAGAAGCTACTCTATCCATAAAAGAAGATCAGGGTGCAATAAAAAACATACCAACAAATAAGGAAGAGATTGAAATTAATAATATAACTTCTGAAACAAAACATTAGTTAGGAATACTGGCGGATAAAATCCTGGAAGTTCCCCAGACTGTGCACTCAATTTTAGATAGGGAAGAGAAAACATTAAAGAAGGTAAAAGACACAGAAGCTCACTAAGGACCAAATTCTGTCCAATGGGAGTTCCCACAAGAGAAAACAAAGGAACTATAGAGCAGGAAACTATATAATAAAGACATAATAAAAGAAAATTTCCCAGAAACTTTTGAGAGAAACTAGAATCATCATCTGAAAAGGCCCAGTGAAGGGACCTCACTGAAAAAAGAATATCAAACCAAGAAAAATAAACTTATTGTAAGGCATATTTTAATGAAATGTCAATGTAACAAGGATAAAGAGAAGATCCTAGGTGTTCCCAGACAGAATAAAATAGGGCATCTACAAAAGATTGAGAATTAAGATTAATATCAGATTTTTCAGCAATGCACTGGACACTTAGTAGACAGCAGAGCAAAAATTTCATCTTCTTAGGGAAGATTATTGTGAACCTCTTGGTGTGAAAACAAAATGAGGACTTGTTTAGGCATGTAAGGATTCAAAGATGATCTCCTATGCATCCACTGGGAGGGAGTTCCTTTAGGGTTCATTTTCATTTTGCTGGAATGCAAATAAAGAAATGGGAAGACATGAGATACATGAAATTCTAGTACTGAACCAGGGATGAATGAAAAGAAATGGAAGGATGACAGCACTACAGTAGGCCTAAAATTCCAGTATCCATATTACAAGAAATCAGTGGGTCCTGAAAAGAATGGAACAAATTCCATTCCATAAGCAGTATGTAGGAGCTGCAAGACCTCAGGAATATGGTAAAGGTGGTGCTTGTGACCATTCTCGGCAAGAAAAAAAGAAAGGCAATCAGAAACTACAGGAAAGGGCACCTGGGTGGCTCAGATGGTTAAGCGTCTGCCTTCGGCTCAGGTCATGATCCCAGGGTCCTGGGATCGGGTCCCGCATCAGGCTCCCTGCTAGGCGGGGAGCCTGCTTCTCCCTCTGCCTCTGCCTCTCTCTCTCTCTCTCTGACTCTCATGAATAAATAAATAAAACATTTAAAAAAAAAAAAAGAAACTACAGGAAAAACCTGAAGCTGCACAAGAAAACCACGGTCCACATGTGAAGCCAACAAAATTGTGAGCCTTTGAGTAACTGACAGAATGAAAGAAAAGAGATGGACCCACAAAGAAGAAAATGTAGTGAACTGCTTAGTCAGCAGCTAATGACAACTACCATCTATGATAACACACACACATATTTGTTGTCTTTTCACTTTTAGCCTCAGTCTATAGACACAGCATGGATGATTTAATCATGTCAACACAAAATCAATCCTTAATAAAAGGATAAAGGGAAAGCTGATGGAAGTTGAGCAGAGGAGGGGCAGAGGGACAGGGAGTGAAAAGCTGCTGGAACAAGAAGCTGGTCTTTTGGAGAGCGACCTAAGGTAGGAGACCGCTGGTTTTCATTAAGAAGCATTCTGGCCTCTTGATGTCATCCTGTGCACACTACTCACTGTGGCTGCCATGGCACAGAAACTTGGTGGTGAACTTAGGGCAGTGTGGCTGGAGAGGCAGAGAGAGGTGCCCCCCAGAGGGCACTCCCTGCTTTTGACTATGATTCAAAATCACTTTTTTTTTTTCGAAATCACTTTTTATTGCCATTGACCCACACCCTCCCTACCCTCCAATGGCAATGTGTTTAGGGGCGCCTGGGTGGCTCAGTTGGTTAAGCGACTGCCTTCGGCTCAGGTCATGATCCTGGAGTCCCGGGATCGAGTCCCGCATCGGGCTCCCTGCT